TTATTAGCCTTGTTTGATTCAAGAGGTTAAATTTCTCTAAGACCTTTGAGAAGCATTCAAATGAATGGTACCTCATACTTATGAGATGCTATTGCTCATCTTGCTGGTCATCCCCATAGATATTCTGATGCCTAATTCTTAATTGGATTGAAATTACTGCTGAGAAAGAAAAATGCTTTTCTGTTAAAGATTCCTGAATTTGGGTTTCTTTGGAATCTTAAGGTTTTGTTTTTTAAATAACAGAGTTTGGAATGGAGTGGAGGGTCTAGCACAGGGATGTGGAGGGCTGTTATTGAGGTGACCCTGTGTCAGGGCCCAGGGATTCTCCTGGGAAAAGGACAGTCATGATCCTGTCTCTTAGGGAGCTTACCTGGGGCCACAAGAAGTGGTTGTCAACTAAAATAAGAATTTAGTTTAATCACCCACTCCAGCTATTTATACATTTTGTCAGAGGTAAGTAAAAATAAAAGCACCCAGTTGCCTAGGATAAGGGACAAAATGTCTTTGTAATTGCAGTGAAGGTCTGTGGTATTAAAATGAATCAATTTTGTCAAAAAAAAGCTATTTTGTAGAAAAATTCGTTCTATTGGCTAGGCAATTCAGGGAGGGGAAAATGGACTTTCTGAATGAGGATGAGAGATGCTGAGTAACTTTCCTCAGGGACAGAAGATAGGAAGTGATATATCCTGGCTTGTCACAGTAGTTTATTTTTTGTTCTTTAGAATCCTTGAGATGGCCTGTTAGTTGGGTAGTCAGCTGTGTTTCTGGGCCCAAACATGCAGAACAGACAACCAGGGATGGGCCTGGTAGTGGGGAGCCAGTCAGTCCCACCTTGACCAAGCCCAAACCCTGGAGGCCAGGTTGTGCGCAAGGTGGCAGTACCATCTACACTCTTTTGGATAAGGGTTGATAATCATGCACAAATTTCACATCAACTATTAATAACTGACAGTCCATTCATCCATCCACCCATCCAGCTACATCCAGCACAAGTGGGAAAGGTTCAGAAGCCGAAAGACATCTTTTGTGACTTTATGATGGATCAATTCCCACTCTGATGGGTGAAAGGACAAGGCGAGAGGCCATTAGGGTTGCTGATGCACAACTGAAGGAGGGCCAAGCCATTTATATCCTCTTAATGAGCACTGTTTAATTACTGTCTTTAAAAAGAATTTTTAAGATCCACTGAAGTACAAATTTATGATTTTATAGTTCAAACCCCATTTCAGCTATTGACATAGAAATTATTCCTAACCAATGGATTGGTAACAAAGGTTTGTTTCCAGGATGTTTTGTAATTTAGAAGTTGAGCACTTCATGCACAGGAAAATAAACAGGATGAATAATTAGAAGCAACACCTGAGAATGAAGACGAGCGCATTCTATCATTGAGGGATGACTGCAACACTACAGTTCATCCGGATCATATAGGATCAGTGGGTGCTGACCCACTCTGCATCCAGGGCTCCATGTGCAGGTTCCTTGCTTGTGGACAGTGGGGAGGAGAGGTTTGCATGAGCCAGTCCCCCAGTCTGCAGAGACTCGAGCACACTCACCTCATCTCCCATTGGACAGGACAAACAACCAGTTTCTATTTAACACATTTTCTTCTATTCACTTTGATAGAATCTTTTAAGATTCTATTTACCTGATTTAGGTGGAAACAGGAGGAGATGGATTTTGGTCAAATACAAAGGATATTCCATAGAGGACCTGCACAGCATATTATAGATATGACATTAAATCAACCACAAGGTAAGTAGGGTGCTTTCTGTCCTCTGTATTAGCACTGCAGTGCTGGGACTATTCCATTGACCCAGCTAAGCAGAGGCCTTGGCTTTTGCTCTTTCAGAAAATAAACCAGAAAGCTCATTTTCCTTAATAGTGTCTGCCTATCAATGCTTTTAAACCTGCACTGCTCGCTGGGAGGGGATTCCACTGAGGGACAGCCAGATACTTCCGGGCAGGGCCACGGGCTAGGAAAATGAAGCAGCCGCCCTGTCCAAAAACACTTCAGTTGTGTACTCAGTGGAATAATTATACTTTTGTAAACTCCAACTTTCAAACAAGTAAGCTGGCTGCCTGGGGAAGCTTTTGTGGATGCTTTATCCAGTTCTTGAAAAACAGGGTCTTTGATGACATGCTGATTTAGACAAGGTCATTTTTACTGGAACTCAGCACACAGCAGCTGGTGGTAGACTTGACTACAGTTAGAGCAATTTAATCAACATCAGAGCCCCTCTTCATTTAAAAGATGAGGCTTTAGATTGGAGTGGCAAGGGAATAAAGAAGTCCGTTCCCAGCTTAACCCATCCTAAAAAGTACAGTCTCAATGGAAGGAAGTGGGTTCTAACCCAGCAGCCCCTCTTGGCAGGTATGAAAAAATAGTCTTTTTGGAAGAAAAACTGTCCTGAAATTGTAAAGGTTGTGCAAATTTAGACAATTTCTTAAATTTACAGAAGTTCACTGTTGGGTTAAATAACGCTTTATAAATGTATTAATAAACAAATGTAATTTTTTTTTCATGACAACATAGGGGTAATTTTTATTGTATAACCCACATAAAATCCAGGGTCTTCAGTCTCAGGACTTTCCTAAAACAGGTTTTTGAAAGTCTTGTGCTTGATTGAATTCTTCCTGGTTTTGAAATAATACTAAAGGTGATCCCCCCTTTTTATTAAAATTGTTTTTACTGATTTCAGAGAGAGGGAGAAGAGATAGAAACATCAATGAAAGTCACTGATCAGCTGCCTCCTGCACGCCCCCTACTGGGGATCCAGCCAGCAACCCGGGCATGTACCCTGACCGGGAATCAAACCTCAAGCTCCTGGATCATAGTTCGATGCTCAACGTCTGAGCCACACCAGCCAGGCAATTTTCCATTTCTGAATGGCCTAACACGTGAGTTGTGAAGACAGTAATTAAGGTCACATACTGTGGTTTTTCTTAAGTGGTCAGTAAGCCTATATTCTAGAATCCCAACACTGTTCTAGAGCCACCTGTGGGAGATGTGCGTCAGGAACCACCGGGCCTTTGAATGCAGACCTCTGAGAGCAATCTGTACCTCTCCCTGTATCCCAAGGGCTGACCTCATTTACAAATAGTTTAAAGTGTCAAGCTGGGAACTGGAGACTTGGTAAAGGTAAGCTGCTTTTCCGTCTTATTAATCTTGTCAATAGTTTGTCCCTCATTCACAGCTTTTGCTTGAGGGATAAAGTCTCTTAGTTGGATGTGAACTATTCTGAGGGCCATTTGTGTTCCTATTTGGTTGGTCTACAACGTATTCTTTGCCAGTATTTATGCTGTGAAAAAGTAAAAAGGTAACTTAATGATCTCCAGAGGAATGACAGGTACTTCAAGAAATGTCATTTCTTGAGTGATCGTTGGAGCTCAGGGGTGTTCTCAAAGCCAGGCCCACCAGGGTGGGCAGAGAGGAGCTGCTTTAGGATGATGAAAACCTGCTCCTTCATTTCTGTCAGCTTTCCACGCTGGAGACCATAGAGGCCGAGCTGCTTTGGTGCCTCTGACTACCATGAGGGGTAAAGCCCAGACCCTGGTACAGCCCACCTTGCAGCCTGAACTAAGTCCCTTTTTCCAAGGTGTGAAGTGGCGTGCTGACTCATCTTTGGCTTTCCCTGTAAGCCAGGAGTCCTAAAAATTTATAATATAGGAAAGGATGCTGTGTCTTAGGAAAAAAGGTGTCTTAAATTAGGCAAATGTCTCTGTTCTTTGCTGAGTATAGCACTGTACAAAAGGCTTTGCAGCAGAATTATTCTGAGAATTGTAATGTAAAAACAAGCCATGCGTGGTCTGAGAGGGCTACCCAGAACTTTCTGTGACAGTGGAAATGTTCTGTATGTGCACTACTCAAAATGGTAGCCACTAGACACAGGTGAGTGCCAAACACTGAAGCGTGACTAGGGACTAAGGAGTGGCATTATTTTTGACTAAGTTTTCATGGCCACCTGTGGCTAGTTGATGAGGTCCGAGTAAAAGCACCTTTGGTACGAACTTTGCTGCTGTTTATTCATTTTACAGCTAGGAAGTTTATATGTGAAATTTGTGCAAAAGATTGCTTCCGACTGCCATCTGCTCCATCAGGAACTTCAAACAGTGTCTAAGAAACTATGTCCACTCCCTGCCTACCCTGTGTTCTGAGCCTTGGGAATTCTTGTCCTCAAAGGAGAATTCTGTGATTGATGGTGCTATCAAATATGCACTCCTCTCTCTAGAGGCATTCTGCCATTTATTCTCATCTTGTGACTCCAGCATGATGTCTTTTGGGGGGCAGCTGATTTAGAGTATAGCCTATCGCCATTTTAATCACTTTTACTTACAAAACATCAGTCTCATGGTTGAGTTTTTCCACAATGTAACCCACTCAACCTACATTTTGTCTGAAGTCTTTCTCTAGGAGTGCACCCTTCCTCCTTCACCTAGGACAGCTTCCTGAGCGTTCACACTTAGAAGTGCCTCATTACTTGGTTTAATGCTCTCCTGTCACTGTTTTGTAGTTCTTAATTTAGTGAAGTCTGATGAGGCAAAGGGGCATACACTCGAGCAGAGGAGATAGGTGCAATACAAATGCCCACTGTTCTCACCCTCCATTCACTTACAGCCTTCATGATGCCCATGAATTCTCCTGTGGGCCCACCATATGTGAGAGTTCAGAGATTCAGAGCACAAGGTAAGCATGCTATGGATACAACTGATTAAGTGGGAGCACTGAGAGCCCCAAAAGGCCTTGCTTTCCGTTTGAACCAGAATTGATTCAAATGCAAAGAGAAGGAAATGACATTCTAAGAAGCATGAATGGCCATGGAACCATAACACATTCTTTCTTACTCATGTTACTTTTGTGTATTATTAGCCAACAAGTTATGCTGAAAATGACATAGAAGAAAAGGAAAACGTATGGGAGGTCATAGTTTTTCAGACCTTCCTTATCAGTAAGCTGAAAGGGTGCTGACAGAATGTGTACATATCAAGAAGTGAAGTAGTAACATTTGAGCTAGTTTTATGCAGTTTCCACAGTTTTGGTAAGAATACATATGCATACAATATGTATACATAAGCTATGAAATACAAATTATAGAATTTTGGTCATTCTGCATGAGTTAAGTGTTTTATATTTGTAGCTAAAACTGGAATTAGACAATATCAAGATGAATGATAAAATTAATGCTTCTAATTTAAAATTTTAATTTTACTTAGAACAGCATTAAGTAGCAAAAACCACTATAACAAGCTGTTAGAGACCATGAAAGAAAGGAAACATTTTAGTACCTTAATGGTAGTTTCCTGATTATTGAACCAGAGGCCTCACATCTTCATTTTGCACTGGGTCCTACACATTAGGTAGCCAGCCAGCTCTGCTCTTCACTGCTTTGCTCCTCCCAAGGCAGGTCTTGAGTCTTTCCTTATACAACCCCTTTAGTCCACAGCCCTTTGAGGACCCTCACTGATTGCCACTGATTTAAAGGGCACCACTGCTCTTGTGGCTCCTCTGCTGCTTCACTTGTAAAAATCTAGAACTAAATCAGGACGGACTTAGGGAAAGAATACCTGCCACCCTGGAAGGTGACATGACTTCTCAATTCCCCTCTAACCTTGTCTTGTCTTGGAGAAGCAGCTAAAGGCTAGAATCTCTTTGATTTGACCAGTTCTGGCAGAAAAAAGTACTTCTGGAAGACTAAACTTCAGCGATGTCCTTGACAACCTGGATCCAGTCTTATCCTTTTCAGCCACACCATGAAAGGTTGAACAGCTGTGAGCAGGCTGAGTAGGCAGAGCAGGTGGAAAGGTCTGGAAAACAGTGACTGGTTGCATCAAAGCTCTTTATGAAGAGTGCTGCAAAGTAATTCTTGAGAGTTTGTTTTTAAATGGTTAGAGTATAGCATAATCACCTCTCCTTTAGAGAAAGATAATTTTGGCAAAAGTGCAAACATCACAACACAAAACTGGAAGCAAAAAACTTTATAGGAAACTGATGTAGATGAGAAACTATAAAAAACTGAAAAAGACCTGAGCAGTGGGAGATTTGTTTGTGATAAAGGATATGAAGAACATACAATTATATTTTCAAGGAACATTATGACCATCAAATTAAGGTATCAATATTTGGTAACAAATATTAACTGATCTGAGGAAGAGCAGTGTGAAAATATTCTAATTCGGGGGCTGTCCCATAGAATTTTCTGTGATGACAGAAATGTCTCATCTCTGTGCTGTCTGTATGGAATCCACTAGCCACATGAATATGCAAAATGTAGCTATAATGTAATATACATAATAAGGAAGTGGATATTTATAATTTAAATAGCCACATGTGACTAGTGGCAACCAACTGAACATGGCAGTCCTAATGCCTCATGGATCAAACCCCATGGTTTCTTTGAGGGACTCTTCAATCACTGCTGGATAGGGGGTTGTGACTGAAAACAGAGGAAGCTCTTAACAGATCTATTTGGCTACTTAAACAAGACAAAACTCTCCACAGCTTCCAGAGATAGGGGGCGGCACAACCTGTTGCGGGGGGGATGAGAGGACTCTTGGAAAAACCTGAGTATGCCCTCCCAACTCCTGGCTAATGCTAATGGGAGTAAAATGCCTGGGATTTAGGTCACTCAGATGGCAGGAGGCCCTCACGCTTGGGCCACCCCTGGGGTATCTGTGCATGGAAATCATCGCTGTGGGGCCGACAGGGAGCTGGAGGTGGGGTGCTCATTTCCGGACAGGGTTTCCAGAGCCAGAGGAGGGTTTAAGGGTGGCCGGCGGACCTGAGGGCCCTTTCTGGCTACCTGGAGGCTGAGCAGGCCCTTTCTTTTTGGGGATTAAGACCTTGTTCTTGCTCTTGAACACTTTGCTGGGATCCAGCTTGTTCACAAAGGAGTCAGTCTCTTCGGTGAGCAGGCTTGTGTTGCAGGTGATGGGTTTGTACATGTTGAACCATTGCTGTAAGGCAGAATTGGGAGAGGGTCACAATTCAAAGGAGCTATGTCCTTGTTTATGCTCTTTAGTGGGGATACGGAGTAGAGAGCTGGAGAGATGAGGCAAAGAGAGTAAGTTTTATGAAAAACTCCTAAATAATCTATTAGCATGTCTGCGAAAGTGATGACACACACATTGTTCTGTGAGGTCTTAAAACTTTTAAAGTAAATGCAGCATGAGAACTAAGAATCTGAGTAAACGTCCTTCCTTCTGATCTAGTGAGCCCTGAGCCTGGGATGCTAGGTCCCAAGTCACCAGCAGACAGAGTCCTTCTAATTGTTCTGCCCTCCAACCAGCTACTGCCCATCAGGTGGGTTTGGCAGAATCTGTGATATAGAGGAGGGACATCCAAACTCTGGAATTCTGTGTATCATTGAAAAGGACAGCTCTCTCTGTACTGACAGGGAATGAGCTCCAAGATGGAGTGTTAAGTGAAAAGAAGGTGCACAACAATGTGAATAGTATATTGCACTTGTGTTTGAGAAAAAAGGAACCAAAAACTACATGAACAGGGTATCTTGGTAAGGGCACACAAGAAATACTATAGTGGCTACCTTTGGGGAAGCGCATTGGGAGGCTGGAGAACTGGGAAGTGAGAGACTGACCTTTCACAGTTCCTAAGTGCATGAATTGCCCATCCAAAACCCAGCATCAGAACTAAGGCCCTGACAAAATTTAATTAGAAAAAACTCCCCAGGTGATTCTGAGGATCAGCCATGAATAAAGTGAGGCTGGAATCACCAGCCTTGCTTATTGAAAGTGCAGGTCTCTGGGCTCCATCCCAGATTCCTGCATCGATGGGAAAGCTGGGAGTCTGCAATTTAAGCATGTCCTCAGAAGACTCCGATACATTCTAGTCTGAGGTGCAGGTGCTCCTTACCTTGGCCTGTGGGCTAATGCCATAGTTGGTGAAGGCATACTGCCACTGGGGCAGGCCCAGGTGTGTAATGAGCAGGCGGTAATAGGCGGTGAAGGTATCTGTGAGAAAATGCCAGTATAATGCTCTGTCCAGGAACCAAATCTCAGTGTCTTTCGCTAATGCTGAAATACCAAAGGAAATAAATGGATGGCTTAAAATTTTTTCCTTTTATCTATAAAGTCAATATACATGCATGGTTTTAAAAAGTTCAAATAGTAGAGGGGATGTAAAATATAAAAGTTCCCTTCCTTCTCTTCCAACCTCCCAATCCTGTTCTCCAGTGGCCACTGTTACTGGTTGGTTTCTTTGATATTCTTCTACAAATTCTTAATCAGTTGACTGACCTATCTGCTGGGCGTCTGCCTCTGTGCATCAGGCTACCTAAGCAGCACTCCCTTTCTGTGTGGAAACAGTATTCCTCCTCCCCCAGTGGGTACATACTGTGGTCTCAGCTTTCTTGATGGAGAGAAACTCTGAATGACTGGCTTTCTGGAGAGGTCTGTCAAGAATTAGAAGTGTTGTGAGAAAGCACCTTAGAACAGCTCCTTCTCCTGGGAATCCTGCCTGTGCTGTTGTGTGATGTCCTGGTTGGGCACTGTTGTTCCAGGGCCTGCCTCACACTTGCGTCTCACCTCCCTCCTACTACAGGCAGGCCTCCCCTAGTTCATCTCCTGTCTAATGGCGGCAGCATCTCCCTAACTGGCCTCCATCCTCAGATCTCTTCCTCTTCCCAAACCCCTGCGGTCACATACATTTTCATTTGAATCCTGCCATTCTTCCGCTGAACATCCTCGAGTCCCTACTCTCTTCTAAGTTATGTCCAAACTCCTTCACTTGGCTTTCAAAACCACACAAAGAACTAGCCTTCTGGCTTCATCTCTTCATCTACAAGATGAACCATGGGGGTCCAGTGAATTGTTTTCATTCCCCCCAAATCATTTGTCCTTTCCTACTACAGGGCTTTCACTTGTGTCTCTGTTTAGATGCCCCTTTTTCCTCACCAAACCCTTTAACCCCACCCCATGTATCATTCCTACTCATAATTCCAGATGCAGCTCAAATGCTATTTCAGATTCCTCCAGCTGAAGACCATCTCTCCTTCCCCCAAAGGTAAGGTAAATCCTGGTGTATCTTCTCACCCCTACCAGGCAGAGAGCTACTTGCTGGGCCTTGTCCAGCTCTGTCGTTTCACAGCCCCTAGGCCAGGGCCTGAACTGCTGTTAGGTGGCCAGGTGGTTGCCACTGCTCAAGGACCAGAGCCTTTTTCTCTTGATTTCCTATCTGTGGTCTTAGACTGAAGTCTAGTGATTCAGGTTTTTATTGCTATTAATTGTCCTACATAAAGTAGTACTGGAGAAAAATAGTATTTTTCCTGGATGCTTTTCTAACACATGAGCCTGCTGGAGGAGTTATAAATAGAATGACAATTTCTTTTAGTTTTTATTCACTTATTATCCTAATCCCATTATTTTACAGTAACTCACAAATAATGGTAGCTTAAAAAGACTCTAGTAATTGCCCTAGCCAGTTTGGTTCAGTGTCTAGAGTGTTGGCCTTCAGAATGAAGGGTCCCAGGTTCGATTCTGGCTCAGGGTTGCAGGCTTGATCCCCAGCCCTAGTTGGGGTGCATGTGGAAGGCAACCAATTGATGTCTCTTTCTCACATGGATGTTTCTCTCTCTTTCTCTCCCCTCCCTTTCCACTCTCTGAAAAGCAATGGAAAAATATCCTTGATTAAGGATTAAAAAAAAAGACTCTAGTAATTGGCAGAGAGGGGGATGCTCAAAGAGGTCTTGGTACCTATCAGAGACCAGGTGGTGTCTCAGGAGGCCAGGAAGAAGTGTTCTTTTGTGTGAACACTGGAGAGCAAGGTCAGCCAAGGCTATACCCAAACTACAGGACCATACTTGTTATTCTTACCTGGTTTCCCTTTTTTGTAGACAAGGCAAACCTTCCCATTTCCATTGCAAGGATCCAACTCAAATATCACACTGCGAGAATCAAAGTGAGGCTTCTCTGGCTGGTTCTCACTGGCTGCAAACCCAGAAGGTAATGGTAAGGTTCAAACGTACTCAACCGCAGACACATACTTATGCATCCAGCTTTGCTCGGATGACAAAATGGGCAAAAAGCCTATCTCAGACATATTCTTAAATATTTTCAGATGATAGTTAACATTTTTTAGCAATAAACTATTTTGTAATTAAGGTATGTACATTGTTTTTTTACAGATATAATGCTATTGTACACTTAATAGATCCTACAGTATACTATAAACATAACTTTTATTTGCACTGGGAAATCAAAAATTTCTGTTGCTCAATCCTGTGAACTCAAGCTGTCTTCATCCAGTGAGGCTCTTAGCTTTGTCTTCTCAATTCACAGAGTGCAGTAGGTTCTGCTTAGGTTCCCTCACTATGGAAACTCAGATAATAAGCTGGGGTTCACCTCCTTTGTTGCCTGATGGTGTCTTGAAACCCATTGTTTGATACATTTTTGTCTGTTTATTGTTGTTCCAGGTTGGAGGATACATCTGGTCTCTGTTATTCCACTGTGGATGAAATATAAAGTCCACACTATAGGGTCTCACCAGGTTTTAGGAGGCCTGATTGAGGTCTACCCTCAGGTGTAAAGTTAAAAAAAATAGGAAACTCATTCAGTGTGGTTCCCTTCTGCCATGTGAGATGCCATTCCAGTTTCTACTTGTTTTTGGTTACTCTCCAGACCTTTTAGGTAATAGTTTAAATTTTTTCCAGAGCTTAGAGTATTATTGGCATAATCTTGATCTGATAAAATGCAGTCAAGTCTGCCATTACCGAAAGCAGGAGGTCACTATTTGGATTTTTTTTTTTTCAAATCTGCAATGTCACTGTTATTAATTCACTGAAATTTTAGTTTGGTTTTATCTCCATGTGTGTATTAGCATATCGTTTTATAGTCTGTACCTAATAATTTCACCCCTGGGAGTACCAGTGGATCTGTTACCTGTTATTTGTGCTGGTTCTTATGGTGTTTTTTTCATGTGCCTGGTTATTTTTTAGTAGGAATTATTTTTTGAAAATAATTCATCTACCATACATTCACTCATTTAAAGTATGCAATTCAATGGTTTTTTGTATATTTAGAGAGTTGTGCAACCATTAACACAATCAATTTTAGAACATTTCTCTAGAATTAGCTTCTGTTTCTTTGTGCCATGGCCCTGAGGAGATTAATAATCTGGGATCAGTTCAGTCCAGTTTTGGGATGTAGCATTTTCTGGGAAATACAGATGGCTTATACCTGAGCTTTAGTCAACATGAAGAGTAGCTACTTCTGGTTCATTCTGTTATCTAGGGTAGATGCCAACCCAAAGGGTAGTGGTTTTTATGGGTGCCATCTTTTGTAGTTTTTAGACTCCCATTTTCTCCCCCTCATCGTACATATGGGTCAAATTCTTAGCCTCATTGTTTCTTTTGAAAAGGACAATGTACCCCAGGCAAAGGCAACCTCAAATGTGAGCCTCTTCCCTGGATTTGTTTTCTTTTGGTTGTTGACCTGGTACTACTGCATCATCTTGTTAGCTCTTTGATGTTTATAGGAAGATGATTTTTATATTTTGCCCTGACACCTCAGCTGTCCAGCAGAAAGACTGCTCTGAATTACCTACCTATCAGTACCAGAAGAGGAAGTCTCTTCATCAATTTAAGTATAAGTCCTGAAAATTACATGGATGAGCTGTGCTTCTGATAGCAGTCTTTGTTTTTCAAAAGACAGAGTCAATCCCAGCATATTTGTCTTAATGCTTTATTTTATTTTACAATGTTTCTTCTTTTCTCCTTTTTTTCTTATGTGATTCAACATTCCCCTTAATAGAGGTTTTAATATAGTTTTTAAAAACTTATTTCCTTAGTAGTTATCTTCCTTCTTGTTTGTATGCTTACATGATTGGATACATGTGATTCTACCATTATTTCCCTAACCAAGTGTGGTATGCAGAACTCTAAGCTGGCACCCAAGATTCCTGCTCCTTGGTATACATACCTTGCATAACCTCTTCCCTTTAGTGTGGTCAGGACCTGTGAATATGACAGAGTAGTCACTCTCTTGATTAGGTAATTTTATGAAACTGTTGTAGCAGACTGGGGAGAAATTTTCCTGTTCGCTGAAAAGTAGTAAGCTGCCATGTTGTGAGGAACCCTTGACCAAGAAAACAGGGACTTAGTCCCACTACTGCAAGAAACTGAGTGAGGCCAACCACTGTGCCAGAGATGAGAGCACCAGCTGACACCTTGTTTTTAGCCTGGTAAGCCCCTAAGCAGAAGACCCTGCTAATCTGTTGCTGAATTCTTATGAAAACTGGTAATAAATTTGTGGTAATCTATTACACAGAAACAGAAAAACCGTTACATTAAAACACTGTTTCCCCCAACAAGGTGTATAATTTCTTCCCTACAGTAGGATGAAACCTCCCACATTCTGCTTTTTCCTCTCTAGTCCTACATTTTCTAATGAAGACCCCAGAATATTCTTTGTATTAATTGGTAGGGCTGCTGTAACTAAGTACCAAACACTGAGTGCCTTGAACAACAAAAATCTGTTGTCTCGTGGTTCTGGAAGCTACAAGCCCTAAATCAAGGTGTTGGCAGAACTGGTTCCTTTTGAGGGCTGTGGGGAAGAATCTGTTCCAGGTCTCTCCCCTAGCTTTTAGGGTTTGCTTGAAACTCTTAGCCTTCCTTGATGTGGAAGTATCACCCCATCTTTGCCTTTAACTTCAAATGGCATTTTTCCTATTTTCCTGAATTTATTTTTTATACAGACACCAGTCATATTGGATTAGGGGTTTGCCCTATTCCAGCATGAACTCATCTTAACTAAGTAGTTACACCTTCAATGAGCCTATTTCTAAATTCTGAGGTACAGGGGTTTAGAACTTCTATAGGAAATCTTTGTGCTGTCTTAAATGTTCTTAAGTGTTTTTATTCTTTTTATTGAGGTTAATTGTATCCTTTAGCAGTTTTATTTCTCTGGTTGTGTATTCTGATATTTCTTCCTTACTGTTCTGACTGCTGAGTCCCCTGAGAAAAGTATTTTTCTCTTAAGGTTTAATAAGACTTAGGTCTAGCTGTTGGACTATCCTAAAATGCATAAACCCAGCAGGTACCGGAAGGCCAAGTGGTTTCTATTCCCATGAATTTGTAGGACAATGTGGTCTCTACCCCAGCTCAATCATTTGCTGAGGCCCCTTGGTGTCTAGTCTACCTCTTCCGGCCTCAAGAGCAGGGAAGACTCAGTCCACTTATTTAACAACTTTGTCTTTTAAGGGTTAGTGGGCCCCAGCATAAACATATGAAGTCAATGTGACTTTGTCCCGACCCTTGAGAATTCTACACATCTCTGAGTGACAGGCTTTTCCCAGGGTTCATCACTTTCCAGTCTTAGCAACTGTACACCTCCTACTGTTGTTCAAAAGCTTGTCCAGTTGAAGGAGAAAGTGTTGCATCAGTTCTCTGTCAAGGCCTTAGTATTTAGGAGATGCTAGTTGCCTACTCAATATTCATTCTTCCTTTCTTTTGTATTTAAACGCCATTTTTGCCTGAGAAGGCAATCAATACTGCACAGCTAAACATACTTCCTCACATTTCATTGCAGCAATGGTAACCTTTTGACTCTGTTCTGACCAAAGGCTATTGGTCAGAAGCTTGGAGGTAGAGCCCACATTCATCACCCATGAGGATGAAAACCATACCCAAAGGCTGGTGCACCATGAAGCCAGAGGAAGACTAAGTTATCACTGACTTCCTCAAGCAGCTACATTAGCCTAGTTTCAGAGTTCTTGTTATAAGAAAAATAAGCTATTTAATTTGGACATTGTAACTGGGTCTCTGTTATATGCATCCAAACACAATGCTGACTGACAAAGTCCTCACTTCCCATAGCTGCTTGAAGCCTTTAGTAGCCATTTGACTAATAGCCTTTTTAATCAGAAGTGGCAAAGCGCATGGAGGGTGGGAGGGAGCTGCGTTCAGATTGCCGCGGCCCCAGAAACCCCAATACTGAAATGCTGAGTGAAGTTTAATTTGTAGTGTTCATTCATTTATCAAGCATTCATTAAGTGTCTACAATGTGCCAGGCACTTAAGTGGGTACTAGAAACAAAACAAAGATCCCAACCCTGGCATTTTCTTCATGGACATGTCCTTTGATACAGGCTGTTTTTACCTTACTCCCACCATCCTGAGAAGCTATGGATGGGAAAGCTTTGGGGGGAAATATTACAATGCCACAATGTCTTCCCATGGTTTTCAATATTATAAAAGGGAAACAAGCAGGCTAATTTCTAACTCAGAGCAGAGGTTCCCTCAGGTACCTTCTTGTGGATCATCCTCCAGGTCAGCCAGAGTTGGTGCATTAGGAAGTGAGTACATAGAAGACTGGTGGAGTGGAGTCAGTTTTGCAATACTGTTAATTGCCATGCTGCCCAATGGAATGGTGTGCTCTATGGGAACATTAAAAAGAAATACATGGAGTAACAGACTAGTTACCATGGTTATTAGTAGGACTTCTGCTTAAGTAACCTAAGCCCACCTATTGTTTGATCCTAGAGCTGAAGAATCTGATGGCAAGTGGAAAGAAGATAATCAATGGACTACGTGCTCTAAAGCGCCAACCTTTCATGTGAAAAAAGCAACTGGGGCCATAGGTGAAGAGTCCCCACTGCCTGTGTTAGGGTAGAATGCTGAAGAAAATTTAAAAAGGAGATACTCCAAAGGGACTGGGAAATCTAGGGTAGGAGTGCTGTTTGAAGAGCAAAGGACTTAGCAATGTTTTTGTTCCCTCTTTCCCTTGCATTAAGAGTTACATGCAAGGAGTAACAGCTTTGATTATATAGCTGACCCTTCTTCTACTCTCTTTTTGTTATAAGCTTTCACAATGGAAAACCTCTCCTCCTCTACTTCATCTTTCCTTCTTCAGTGGAGAAAACTTAGCAGGCTTCTTGCTTGGTTCCAGTCTTCTGTGATTAAACAGAAAAAATAAAGGTGCAAATAAATACACAGACTGCCCTGGCCAGCGTGGCTCAGTTGGTTGGAGCATAGTCCCATACACCAGAAGGTGGAGGGTTCGAGTCCAGGTCAGGGCACATACCCAGGTTTTGGGTTCCATTCCCGGTCGGGGCATGTGAGGGAGGTAACCAATTGATGTTTTCTCTCTCACACCAATATCTCCATGTCGATGTGTCTCTCTCCTCCATCCCTAAAATAAATAAATCAATTAAAAAAAAATGAAGACTGCGTATTTTCCTTATTATATACACTCCTTGTAATAAAGGATGACACATGATGGCACACAATAAATGCTAAAAAACTGGAATGGCTGAGGCAATAAAGCAGCTGGATGTCCAAGAAGAAAAGACCACTAACATTAGAAGATGCCTCCACTGGCTTTTCTGTTACTGACTTTAGCTACCCAGTGAAAAACGGGTATGGTAATAGGGATAAGGACAGGAAGATGAGTTGGGAGGATTAAAGAAGGCATTGTAATAAATGAAGAGGGACTCATTCATAAAAGCATCATGAAATGGTTGTTTTCTGAGGCAGGCTTGTGAAAGGGCTAACATAGCTCCATGATGTGGGAGAGGGAGATTCTGACACGCAGTCTTGGTACTGTCTACTCTCTCTGTTGTTCTAAACTCCAAAGGCCATGGTACAAAGGAGGATTCTGATACTGGTGACAAGAATGGTTTCTAGGCCACCCAAAGAAAGTATTTTAAGCTAAAAGTTCATGTTAAATGCTCAGTGGTAAGCTATAAAAAGTGCTTCTTCTCATCTGTGACAGAGAAAAACAGTAAGATTTTGGGAATCACCAAAAATGGGAAACTCAGGAGGCAGAGGCAGAGGCAGTGAAGGAGAGAAGTCAGTTCTGCAGATTTACTACACATTCTCAGGGACAGCATGGAGTAGTGTAGGGTGCTTCCCAAGGACAGAAGTAGATCTGGGGATGTGATTAGAGTCTGGAGGCAATAAAAGATTCCTAGGGACCAGAAGTCTGTGCCAAGAATGGGCCGGGCTCCGGTGGCTAAATCAGGATTTCCTAGCCTATGAAATTTTACTGAAGCCTTCACGTCAATGTGTAGAACTGCCTTTCATGTCTACATAGTACCTGAACCTGACATGCTGTTCCTACATGAGTTCCTATACTTGCAACACAAAAGTCTGTCCTAGGTACACTTAACACTGAGGTGGTTGATGACTTAGGCTGAAGAGATGTGAGGGGGAGAAGGAATGGTTCTAGTCTGAGGGTCAGAGCCCCAAGGTCTTCACTATGCAGGGACTGAAGGAAGGAGCTCCTCTTACGACCACCCTGAGGAGACCGCTCTGAGGTGGATTCCGCAGAGGTGCTAAATTTGAGGTGGCTCAGGATTTTTGTGTACTGATTTTTTTTTTCCCCCACTTCATTTCAATAGAAAAAAACTCTAAAATAGATTCCAGTTAAGTACTGGCTAGACTCTGGCATGGGGTTGGGGGTGAAGAAATGATGGCATATTTTAGCTTCGGTCACAGCTTCTGGACACTGTACTTTAGAAGAAGCCATCAAAACCATCCAGATTCAGCATGGCCAGTATGGCTCAGTTGGTTGAGCGTTGTCCAATGCACCAAGAGGTCACTGGTTCGATTCCTGGTCAGGGCACAGGCCCAGGTTGCAGGCTTATTCCCCAGTAGGGGACATGCAGGAGGCAGCCAAATGATGTTTCTGTATCTCTCACTCTTCCTTCCTCTCTCTAAGAATCAATAAAAACATATTTAAATAACACATCCAGATTCAAATACTCAAAAGTTGTAAAGGCCCTCAAGAGCTATTTCACCTAATATCTTAGGCAGGGAAATGTTCTTCTACAAACAGGTGGGGAACCTTTTTTTCTGCCAAGGGCCATTTGGATATTTATAACATCATTCGTGGGCCATACAAAATTATCAACTTAAAAATTAGTTACGAAAAAAGTTCCTAAATTTATTGAATTTTGAATCCCACCTGCAGTTGCCTTGGCAGGGCCAGACCAAATGATTTTGCAGGCCATATATGGCCTGCAGGCCATATGTTCCCCACCGTTGCTCTACGGCAACGGGGTTGACTTACCATCCAGCTTCACATTCCATGTCATGTGGAAGCCATTGGTCATCAGGTAAAAATTCTTCACATCCTCAGGCAGTATACAATTATTTTTCTAGAATCACAAAGCAGCAATAGGTGAGGGCTGGGAAAGAGAGCACAGGACTATGCCTCAAACCAACTGGAGACACTTTACCGTGTTTCAGATAGCTAATAGGAAGGCTGTGATAATTATCTACAAAACTCTATTAGAAAGTCCAGGGTCAAAATGGCAACATAAGAGGCTCCTTAACTCACTTCCTCCCATAGACACCCAAATCTACAGCTACATATTGAACAATTCCCTTAGGAAGAAATCCAGAAATAAGCTGAGTGATTCCCACATGTCATGCAAATGAGAAAAAACTCACATCAAAATATGTAGGAAAGGCTGATCACAAGCTTGCCATAAAACCTACCTTTGGTGGAGGCAACACACAATTGGAAGGGAACTCACAGTTCCCACATTCTTCCTGAGGAGCAAAGAGTTTGGATCCCACATCTGACACCCCCAACTTTTAATTATAAGACTTCCACTAGAGAGATGGATGCCCCAAAACATCTAGCTCTGAAAGCCAACAGGTCCAAGAGACTCACAAGGCTATAGTGAACTAAGAGTTTGTAAAGAGCTCACAGGGACTCACATGGTTATCCTCCCAGGGCCCAGTGCAGAGCAGACTGAAATCAGAAGCCTTGTGGTGAAAGAGGCCTATTTGCCTAACTTAAAAACTTTTGCTTGGGGAGTAGGCTTCTAATTTAATACACATCTGGATGCCAACTGCAACACTCTACACAGACCAGGAAGGCCAGCAGGAAATGTCTTCATCTTTCCTTCTGCCTTATTCCAGGTCATAGATATCTCTGGGAAAGGGGCTTGTACATGTTTGACACCTTGGCTTTTTGTAGTTGCTGTTCAGGGGACACACCCCTTGATTAGAATGGTGCTGGTGGACAGCTGGGCTTATATTTCTGGGTCCCACAGGACTGTAACAGTAACAGTTCTAATTGTATCCCCAAAGCACAGCTCAGAGGCAGCAGAACGAAACACTCAGCCTTTCCTTGAAAGAAGCCTATTTGTAGATCTTAAAAGATACAACCTGCCTGGCCGGGCTTGGCTCAGTGGTTGAGCGTCGACCTAGGATCCAGGCGATTGGGGTTCGATTCCCGGTCAGGGCACATGCCCAGGTTGTGGGCTTGATCAATGACTCTCATCATTCATGTTTCTATCTCTCTCTCTCTCCCTCTCCTTTCCTCTCTCTGAAATCAATAAAGATTATATTTATATAAAAATAAAATTAAAAAAAGATACAACCTGAGGGTCAGGCTATAATTTAACAACATGTAGGGGCCAACTGCAATCCTCTCCAGAGATGGGGAGGACAGCGGATACCATATTCACACTCTCCCTCTGCCCCATCCCAGGTCATTGGTGTCTCCATGAATGCAGGTTGTGCACACAACTGGTGCCCCAGCTTGCGTAGTTACTGTCCAGAGCGTACATCCATTGATAGCCTGGCTCTGGTAGCCAGCAGGGCTTGTGTTCAAAGGGGCAATGGGTGGTAGAAAACAAAGAAACGATTCTTAACTGGTTATCCCTTCAGGGCTTGGTGCAGAAGTAATAGACAGAAAAGCCTATCTCTCAGTCTTACCCTAAAAGAGTATTTGCATACTTTAAAAGTAGCTTTCATTCAGCTGCATCTAGGTGCTCACTGAATCCTCCCCTTTGGGGCACTGATAGGTTTTGGCCCATCCTCAACTACTGGGAGCCACAGGGACAAAGTAGGGTGGACAATCACAAATACCTAAGAGAAAACCAAGAGCTAGGACAGGGTTGAACAATAAGGTTCATCTCTTACATGAGGCCATTCCTTCAAGACTGGAAGATGTGGCTCTTTTGTCTAATGCACAGAGACCAATACAGAGAAGCCATGAAAAATAAAGAATTAGAGGAACATGCTCCAAATGAAAGAACAAGATAAAACTGCAGGAAGAGACCTTAATGAAACAGAAAAAAGTGATTTACCTGATAAGGAACTCAAAATACTTGTCATAAAGATGTTCACTCAGTTCAGGAGGACAATATATGAACAAAATGAGAATTTCAACAAACAGAAAATATTAGTACCAAACAGAAATCACAGGGATGCAGAATACAATAAATGAAATGGAAAAAATTCAATAGAGGGTTTTAACAGCAGGCTAGATGAAGTAGAGGAAAGGATCAGCAAACTAGAAGACAGGGTAATAGAACTCATCCAATCAGATCAACCAAAAGAAAAAAGAATGAAAAGAATGTAAAGATGGCTTAAGGAACTTATGGAACAACATCAAGCAGACCCTTTTGCATAACAGGGTTCCCAGAAGGATAGAGAAAGGGGCAGAAAGCTTATTTGAAGAAATAATGACTGAAAACTTCCCTAACTAGGGGAAGGAAACAGATTTCTCAATCCAGGAAGCTCAGAATTCCAAAAAAGATAAATCCAAAAAGACATTATAATTAAACTGTCAAAAGTTAAAGGCAAGGAGAAAAATCTTAAAAGCAACAAGGAAAAAACACAACTGTTACAAACAAGGGAACCCCCATAAGACCATAAGGAGATTTTTAGGCAGAAACTTGACAGGCCAGAAGACAGTGGCACAATATAGTAAAAGTACTGAAAGAAAAAAAAGCCAACCAAGATATACTCCACCTGGCAAAGGTGTCTTTCAGAAGTGAAGGAGAAATAAAAGCTTTCCAAACAAGCAAAAGCTGAAGGTATTCATCACCACTAGACTGGCTTTACAAAAAATGTTAAACATGTGTCTTTAAGTTGAAATGAAAGGACACTAATTAGTAACAGGAAAACATATTGAAGTATAAATCTCACAGGCAAAGGTAAATATATAGTTAAATTCAGAATAATCTAATGTTGTGGTGGGGTGGCCACTTATAAATCTAGTATGAATGTTAAGACAAAAAGTAGTAAAAAGAACTATAACTACAATAATTTGTTCATGGATACACAAGATAGAGATAAATTGTGAGATCTTTTCTAATGTGTGGAAGGGAGGAAAAGTAAAAATAAAAACATAGCACTTTAGAATGCATTCAAACTTATTATCAACTTAAAATAGACTGTTATACATAAAAAAATAAAGAGAAAGCAATCGAAGACAGAAAATAATCAAATCACAAAGGAAGAGGGCAAGAGACCAAGAAAGCAACAAAGGAATTACAAAACAGCCAGAAACCAATGAACAAAATGGCAGTAAGTCCATACATATCAATAATTACTTTAAATGTAAATGGACTAAATTCTCCAATCAAAAGACAAAAAGTGGCTGAAAGGATTAAAAAGTATAAGAACTAACTATATGTTGCCTACAAGAGATTAACTTCAGATGTAAGGACACACACACACAAAGTAAAGAAAAGATATTTCATTCAAATGGAAATCGAAGAAAGGTGAGATAGATATATAAGACAAAATAGACTAAGACAAAGATTGTAATAAGAAACAAAGAAGGTCATTATATAATGATAAAGGGGTCAATCCAACAGCATGATATAACAACTTATAAATACTTATGCATCTAACATAGGAGTATCTAACATAGGAGTAGTTAAATATATAAAGCAAATATTAATAGACCTAAAGGGAGAAATAGACAGCTATACAATTATAGTACGGAACTTCAATATTCTTTCATCATTGATAGATCAGATCAGATGGACTTTAACAGATATTAACAGAACATTCCATCCAAAATCAGCAGAAAATACATTCTTCTAAATTGCACACGGGAAATTCATTATTCAGAATAGATCATGTATTAGGCCACAAAACAAGTATCAATAAATTTAAAAAGACTGAAATATCGAACATCATTTTGAGCCACAATGGTATGAAACTAGAAATCAATTACAAAAAGAAAATGGAAAATTCACAAACATATGATCAGACAACATGCTACTGAACAACTATTGGGTCAAAGATATCAAAAGAGAAAAAAAATAAGTCTTACAGCAGAAGACAAATGTAAATACAACATACCAAAACTTATGGGATACTGCAAAATCAATCCTAAGAGATGGTACACAGTGATAAAATGCCTACATCAAGAAATTTCTCAAACAACCTATATTTATACCTCAAGGAACTAGAAAAGGAACAAACTAAGCCCAAAATTAGTAGAAGGAAGAAAATACCAAAAATCAGAGTGGAAATAAATGAAATAGAGACTCAATGAAACTAAGAGCTAGCTTTCTGAAAAGATAAATGAAAGAGACAAAGAAACAAACCTTTAGTTACACTCATGGAGAAAAAGGGGATTCTAGACATTACAACTGTTACTACAGAAATAACATCAGAAATTAAAGAGGAGACATTGGCTCTGACCAGTGTGGCTCAGTTGGTTGAACATCATCCCATGCACTGAGAGGTCAGTCACCAGTGTGATTCCCTGTCAGGGAACATGCAAGGGTTGTAGGCTCCATCCCCAGTAGGGGGTGTGCAGCAGGCAGCAGATCGATGTTTCTCTCTCTCCCTCTCCCTTCCTCTCTCTCTAAAATCAATAAAAAACATTAAAAAAAAAAAAAGAGAGAAAATTAAAACAAATAAATAAATGCAGGGGAACCTTAGTTCTCGAACTTGTTTCTTTCAGGAAGGCTGTTTGAAAAGTGATTTGTTTAAAAAGTGAGTCACTTTTTCCCATTTTAATCCATTCCAGACCCCCAAATGATTCCCTGTTTTAACCTTTCTATATATAGTACAGGTCTAATGTACTATTTAATCTACAAACACTTCTTTTCTTAAATTTTTCGAACCACCCCTAATAGATTTAAAAGAATTCCATTCAGCACTAGTTCCAAAGGTGTCTTTCGGGAGGCCAGCACGCAGTATCTTTGCTTTTTCCCATATTATGCCTCCAAAGTGCTATCACAGGCTGCTTTTCTTTTATCCAAATCAACAATTTTTCTCCCTCTTCAATAGCCTGTGATTGTTGTTTCGTGAGCACATTTTCACACCCTTAGCAACATCAGAACTCTTATGGCCTCTTTATGTTTTAAAATTGTGCTAATCGTCGATTTGTCAG